GTACTTCTAACTTATACACTTGTCTTTATCAAGATAGGAGGGTTGAATATATTTTATTTAACAGTTTGGTGGATTGACTTACAACTCAGATATTTAGACCTTTGGTAGGCTGGCCTCTGGTCTGAGGCCCCACCAGGATGAGGGGTGCATGTGTTGACGGGAGTGTGAGGAATCTCTCAGAATTCGTTCCTCGCTCATGGCATCAAAATCCACAAGTTTACGTTTAAATCTTCCAAACAGATCAACAACATAGAGTAGCTTTTGTTAGACACTTTCTGTTGAAAAAAAAAAAAAATCTCTCAGTTTAGCTTCTCTGGGTGCATTTTCTCCACCCATTCTGACCTGGATTCTTCATAGTGGTTATCTTTTCTCTGCCTCATAGCTTCTTCTCATTTGTGACTTTGGCTCGCTCACAGCTGCTCTGTGCTTCTCTCACTGAGCATGCTTTCAGCATTCCCCCCAGGCTGCCCTCACCTGACTTGCTCCATATATCTCCATTCAAAATTTCAGGGATAGGAATCTATAGTCACACATCACATAGTGACGTTTTGGTCAAGAATGGGCTGCATATATGTCAGTGGTCCCATCTCTATAATAAAGAGACAGGGTGTGAGGACAGATCAGGACCAAAGGCTGACCATGGGCTGTCAGTGATGGCAACCTAGCACTGATTACTGGGGTTGCAGGCCCAGTGACTCAGCAGTGACTGCTGAGGGGGCTTTGAATCAGAGAACTGAGGAGAGAAGCAGGGGTTGATCTGTAGCACCTGAGGCAGCTTTTGACTAACACTTGCCTCTCTCTTTCCCTCAGAGCCTGGCCAGCAGCCCTGCATCCAATTCTCTCCAGGCCTCCACCAGGGCTGATCAGCCCTGTCTTTTTTATCAGGCCGTGTTGATAGGCCCAGAGATGCTGACTGGCATAGAAACTGACCAATCAGAACTAAATCTGGATCAACTATGAGGAGCCAACAGCTGCCTAGGAGGTGGAGTTTTTGACACTGGCTGTCATAGAAACTGAACAATTAGAATAAAATTGGCCAGCAGAGGCAGGTAGTTGGGGGTGAGATCAGGCCAGCAAGGGAGGGCAGTTAGGGGTGATCAGGCAGGCAGAGGCAGTTAGGGGTGATCAGGCAGGCAGGCAGGTGAGCGGTTAGGAGCCAGTGGCCCCAGATTGCAGTCAGACATCCCCCAAGGGGTCTCCGATTGGAGAGGGTGCAGGCTGGGCTGAGGGAACCACTGCCTCAGTGTACAAATTTTGTGCACTGGGCCACTAGTAAGATTATAATGAAACTAGAGAATTCCTATCGCTTAGTGATGTCATAAACTGTCATAACATCACAGCACAACACTTTATTCACATGTCTGTGGTGATGCTGGTGTGAACAAACCTATTGGGTTGCCAGTCATGTAAAAGTATAGCACATACAATTGCAGTAGTAGGCGGCACCATCTAGGTGTGTGTAAGTCACTCTATGATGTATGCACAAAGACAGAATTGCCTACCAGTGCATTGCTTAGAATGGATACCCGTCAGTAAGTGGCCCATGCCTGTGTTTCCATCTCTTTGCTGCTTTCTGGGAAATTACCCCAGGCCAATTCGTAGGGCAGTCTTGGTCTAATTCATACCTTTGATGGGACATTGATGAGTGGGCTGTTATTTAGTTAGATGAGCACTCCTATCCAATCAGCTATTGCTAGAGGGGATCATGTAACAGAAAACATGGTGTCCAAGGGCAGGCTAGTCAGCAGGCCTGTGGGAGGGGCACAGTTTTTCTCAGAAGTAGCTGTGGGCTCAGCAGACTCCATGACTGTTTAGTGTGATAGTGATGGTGAGCGCTGGAAGCCTCCCTGTCATATTTTCTGCAAACTCTTCAAGAAAGCAGTCATCTCCTTATTAATCAAGATATACCACAGTGTCACCATAAGTAAAGCACTAACCCCCAATACACACCTCTTCTTTCGGTGGCAGGTATCAGGATGATTAAGTCAGCCATCATGAGTGGTTCTTCATTTTTCTGAGATGCATGGGATGTTCTGCTTGTTCCTCAAAAGGTATATTATTCACTTCGGGTGGGTTGCACCCCACTTAATGAGGAGTCAGGGAAGATCTAGATAAGGCCCTTGCCAAACGGTAATTATTGTGTGAGACTTGCCAGAGGAGAGATTTATGAATCTGAACCAAAGTCCTTGGAAAATGTGGAGAGAAAAAAATTGAGAAAACCAAGTTCAGGTGGCTGATCTAGTGGCCCTGCACAACATGAACAAGGGTAAAAAGAGACCAGCCAAGGATCAGGAATTGGGTAAAACTGCAACAGATGGAAGGTGAAGTGATGACTGCTGAGAGAGACTGCTTTTGCTTTTATGGACTCAACAGATGGTACATAGCGGGTATCATTGGCCTAAAGGCACGTTACTGAGGGACACGTTCAAAAAGAGACTTTCTTCTTAACCGTTTATTCTTGGTCACAACCTTTTATCTCCTGTCCCTGGAGGGTCATTCCAACTCTCCTCTTCACCTTTCTTTAAAAATACATTTTTATTGATTTCAGAGGTGGGGGGAAGAGAGAGATAGAGATAGAGATAGAGATAGAGATAGAGATAGAGAGAGAGAGAGAGAGAGAGAGAGAGAGAGAGAGAGAGAGAGAGAAACATTGATAATGAGAATCATTGATCAGGTGCCTCCTGCACACCCCCTACTGGAGATGGAAGCGAAAACCCAGACATAAGCCCTGACAGAGGAACTGAATTGTGAGCTCATGGTTCATAGGTTCACGCTCTATCATTGACCCACACCAGCTGGGATCTCCTCTATCATCTTGAAACCTTTAACTTTCCACTGTATTGATCTCTTCCTGCCTCTCAGGAGATAAAAAACAGCCCAGCTTTGCATCTTTCCCAGGGAAACCCTGCCTCCTCGCTCCCTCCCGCTACAAACACACACCTGTTATGCCATTCCTGGGAAGAGCTGCTATCTGTTTATGTTGCATATCCTGCTTCACCCACTCCCAGGGAGAGGTACCAGTTAACAAGTTTGCTTGTTACTACCTCTCTGGTTTTCTCTTACATCATCTCAAGGATTCTTACCTCATTCTTCTGGTGAGGTAAGCCACAGGAAACAAGCAATACCTTGGTCACACATCTCCACATGTTCCCCATCTTTTCTCCAAGTACTCTCTGAAAAAGACATATACACAGCACCACAGCCAAGGATGATTCCACTGATAATTCCAAACAGGAGAAAATCCCTGAACTGACTCAACTCTAAAGCCATTAAAATGTCATTTTTCCTAAAAAACATTTGTTGTTATTAATCCTCACTCAAGGATGTTTTTTCCAATGATTTTCAGAGAGAGTGGAAGGGAGGGGGAGAGACAGAGAAAGAGAGAAACATCGATGGGAGAGAGATACATCAGTTGACTGCCTCTTGCACACACCCCAACTGGAGGCAGGAATTGAGCACGTTCCCTTGCCCAGAATCAAACCCATGACCCTTCAGTCCAACATTCTAACCACTGAACAAAACCAGTGAAGGCATAAGGAAAACTTTTTAAAGATCAAGGCACGTGGCCCTACTTGAAAATGAAGAAGTTTGAACATATATTTCCACAGGAGACTTTTCTTGTTACACAACAGAGAATACTTATGAAGTCACTGACCTAAGGATGGCTTCCATGGGTGGGGTGAGTGTAGGGGAAGGGTTGTCCCCAGAATCCCTATTTGGAATGCACTGACAAAGGTGATCCAGGGTGTCTGAGACCTTATGATTAATGCTAGTTGATAAAACACAGAAGCAAAATGGGCTTTTGTGGACTGGCATATGAAACAGGCTCTTTTAGTTCCAAAGAACAAACTTAAAATCTTGAAACACATTTTACTCATAATTTTGGGACTCTCTCTAGTGTGTACATTATGTCTACTAAATCCTTAGTATAACAGAATCCTGTAGTTGATAAAGCATCAGCTATTATCTGAAGCAAAGATTCACCTTTCAAAACGAGTTATTTTCTCCTTGAGAAAAAATGTTGTGCTGCTTGTGAGGTGCCAGTTACTCAGTCTATTCCAGCAGCACCAAACTGAGATGTTTACACCAGCTAAAAACACACCACTGAGGAAAAACTGGCTACTTCACCTGAAATTCCCATTCATTGAATCAATCACAGCATTAAGCAAGTGTTATCTTGGTCAAGGCTCAAGAAAGGTTTCAGTGTTTACCAGTGACTTAAATGCTGACTTAGGATCAAGAGAAGTATTTCTTGCCCTAACTGGTTAGGCTCAGTCGGCCTGCAGACTGAAAGGTCCCAGGTTCGATTCTGGTCAAGGGCATGTACCTTGGTTGCAGGCATATCCCCAGTAGGAGGTGTGCAAGAGGCAGCTGATGGATGCTTCTCTCTCATCGATGTTTCTACTCTTTATCCCTTTCCCTTCCTCTCTGTAAAAAATTCAATAAAATAAAAGGGAAGTATTTCTTGAGTATACAGTGTTTGCAACACCTGGGGCAAATTTAAATTGCACAAATACCCCATCACAGAAGTGCTTCAGGTTACTACTGATTATAAAAAGGCCACCAAAATAATTTTTTACCACGAATTAATTGTGGTGATTTATCTCTGTTTAACATAAACATGTAACAGGAGTATCATCCAGCCCTCTAACACTTGTATAAATGTAGTGTGTGCTACAGTAATTCAGAACAGACACCAAAGCAGGCCTTTTCTCAACCAAGTATAGGCAACCTTTCCTGATGCCTACAGAGTGGGGGAGATACCGATGCCAGAAGACACGTTTACCTTCTGAATAAGCAGTAAAGTTGTTTTTCCTAGTCAAGTAACTCGGAACCACAATAACTCCACGCAGTATGCCATCAGACGAGTTGCAAGTTGAGTTGATACCCACCACAAAACGCTCTTTCTGAATTCTCTGTAAAGTCTCCTCTGTGCATCCAACTACAATAAATGACTACTTGTAAATAGCATACACATAGCAATAATATACATTCACATATTTTCCCCCACATAAGTTATTTTATTTAAGACAATGTGTTTGGGAGTCCGAATTGAGATCCAATGGTGATTGTCACTTTGAGTAAGTCACTTCAGCTCTCTGGGTCTTAGTTTTCCCATATCTAAACTGGGATTAATAATATAAATTACCTTACTGGGTATCTGTTAAGGATTAAATGAGCTAATGTTTTTTTTAAAAAAAAAATTCTTAGCACATGAAGCACATATTCAATAAATAGATTTCATTAATCTTCTTGAATAATTGCCTCTCCTTTTGTAAGTCTGCCAGGCAGTTATAATGATCCCTATTGGATGTATGCGATTAAATAATTTATCCAGGGCTAAACAATTCATCAGTGGCAGCTCCAGGGCTTCTGGTCCCAAGCCCCAGAATCCTCAGCACGCGCCCATCACTCCCAGTCAGCCTTGTAGACTTTTACAGAATGGGCGGCACTGTCCAGCACAAGAAGAGAATTCTCCTTGGTGAAGGCCAGTGCCACAGGGTGGGAAAGACCGTGGGTGATGACGGGCTTCAGTGCGGGAAACTCCTCAGGTTTTCCTAAGCACAGGACGGCGTGGCTGGAAGCATCGGCGACCACCACATTCCCCTGGTGGTCGAAGGTCACCGCGGAGGCCGTTATTTCCGAGGGGAAGAAGAGGCTCAGCCCGAAGGTGTCCACCTGCCCGATGAGCTGCATGGTGGCGCTGAACACCTTGACCGTGGTGCCGCAGGTCCCGGCCCCCGGCGCCAGGGGGCGCTCGAGGACCGCGATGGCCCCGGTGAGCCGGGACACCGCCACCCCTCGGGGGCCGCACAGGTGCGTGTGCAGCCTCTCGGTGCGCCGGAGGACCCCTTCTGCAAAGTCCATTTCCAGGAGGTGCAGGGACCCTGCCTCCGCGTCCGTGACCACCACCCCGTTCTGAGGGGTGGTCTCCACACCCCACGGCAAGGAGAACGGGCCTCCGAAGACGAGCCTGAGCTGGCCCAAAAAATCGAACACCTTGATGGAGCGGTCGCCCGCATCGGTGACAACCACGTGGCAGTCGCTGGTGACCGTGACGTCCAGCGGGTACTTGATGTCCCAGGCAGCGCCTCCCTTCTCTCCAAACTGGTGAGCGCATCCGCCCCCGGAGTCGAAGATCTTGACGCGCCTCTTGCCGTCGTGCACCACCACGACCCGCCCGGTCTTGGGGCACAGCGCCAGCCCCGTGGGGTTCACCAGGGTCCCCCAGCCGCCGAAGGAGAGGCGGCAGGTGAGCGCCCCGGGGCCGGCGGGGGCCGCGCGGCGGGCGGCCTGCGCCGGGCCGGGCGCGGGGCCCAGGAGCTCCAGCAGGTGCAGCAGCGGCAGGCAGTCGCTGGTGTCGCAGCCGCGGCAGGCCCGCCGGCAGAAGGGGCACTGGAGCGCCAGCGTGCGCGGCTGCGCCAGGGCGGCCACGCAGGCCAGGCACACCACGTGGCCGCAGGGCAGGTTGCGCGGGCGCCGCTGCTGGCGGGGGCCGAACCGCTCGAAGCACACCTGGCACTCCAGCAGGCCGCTGTCGGCCTCGCGCAGGAGCTCCCGCAGCGCCGGCCCGCCCCCCGGGGCCTCGGCGCCCATCGCGCAGCCCGCGGGGCTCCCTCCCGCCGCGCCCGACCTCCGCGCCGCCCGCCCGAGTTCACGGTCACGGGGCGGAGGCGCCGGTTCTGACGTCGATCCCGGCGCCGCCAGGCCGAGATCTGCTGCCCCCTGGTGGGCGCGGGCGGCACTGCTGCTTGAAAGCCTGTATTCCAGCGCATGGTCAGGTAGGTTAATGTTTTGTTTTTTGTTTTTTTTTTAAATATATTTTATTGATTTTTTACAGAGAGGAAGAGAGAGGGATAGAGAGTTAGAAACATCGATGAGAGAGAATCATGGATCAGCTGCCTTCCGCATACCCCCTACTGGGGATGTGCCCACAACCAAGGTACATGCCCTTGACCGGAATCGAACCTGGGACCCTTCAGTCCGCAGGACAACGCTCTATCCACTGAGCCAAACCGGTTTCGGCTCAGGTAGGTTAATCTTAACAAAATCGTGGATGGGTTAGCTCCACATTTCACATGAAGAAATGCACCTATTGAGAACAAGAAGGTTCCTCCTTATCACCTAGGCTGTAAGTGACAAAGCCAGAGCTAGAGCAACCTCGTCTTTCAACCCTGCAGTTTCCAATTCATGGTGCCGGGGGCTAGGGGCTAGGGCTGGCGGGAAAACAGGGTCTCGTGGTTCACGATGCTTCTGACTGAATTGGAAAACACAGACACACGAGGAAAGTTGAACTTCGAGGGAGGTGAGGCAGGCGTGTGTCTTGATCACACTTGTAGTTAAACTATATACTTAGTGAATATGTAAAAGGCGAAAGATTTATGCGGTCTGAAGAGAAACCAGAGCATACTTACTTAGTGAATATGTGTAAAATAGATGCATGTGCGAGCAAAGGCATGGGATAGGGCAATACAAGAAACCCACTAGGTGAATGAGTGTCAGGTGGGGGAACAATGGCTGGAAATGTCTCCCAGAAGAATCAATGGAAGCAAATGGAAGCTGTTCATCATAATTGCTGTAGAACTTATGCCATGCCTCTTTCTATTATGTGATTTATATAGATTATCTTATTTAAACCTCATGACAGTCCTGTAAGAACATGTTTTCTTTCTTTCCTTTTTTTAAAATGTATTTTTATTAATTTCAGAGAAAAAGGAAGAGGGAGAGAGAGATGGAAACATCAATGATGAGAGAGAATCATTGATTGGCTGCCCCCTGCATGCTCCCCACTGTGGATCAAGCAGACAATTTGGACATGTGCCCTCGACCAGAATTAAACCTGGGACCCTTTAATCCACAGGTCAATGCTCTATCCACTGAGCAAAACTGGCGAGGCAGAACATGTTATTTTCATCATCCCCTTTCTACAAAAGAATTCATACAGGTTAAGCATCGTGTTCAGGGTCACATGGCTAGGAAGCAGTTGTACTGGGATTTGAGGCCAGGCAGTTTAATGGCAGAGCTCACACTCTTAACTATCCTAGTGTTGTATTTTTTAATGTTTTTTTAAATTGATTTCAGAGAAAAGAAGGCAGAGGGAGAGAGAAAATCATCAGTGATGAGAATCATGGATCAGCTGCCTCTTGCACAACCCATTCTGGATATCGAGCCCAAACCCCCAGGAATGTGCCCTGTCTGGGAGTCGGACCATTATCTCCTAATTCATGGGTCAACGCTCAACCACTGAGCCACACCGACCAGGCATATTCCAGTGTTTTTCCAACTTGGTTGTATATGGTTGTATATGGTAAATAGCTGGGTCTCATAACTGGGTTTACTTAGTTTGGGTGTGGGCTGGGCAGCTGGAAGTTTTGAAGCTCCCGGATGATTATAATGTGCAGCCAAGTTTGACAACCACTAACAACTGCACTACAACAATCCCTTCAAATGGTACCAGGTTAAATTCTTCCATACTCAGTCAAGATGGAAAGCACAGAGATGTTTAAAAACCTCCAAACACGAGATGGCATGCAGGCTCGAGACCCAGTCGTGGGTTTGCAGGAGGCAGCAGATTAATGATTCTCTCACAATCATTGATGTTTCTATCTCTACCTCTCCCTTCCTCTCTGAAGTCAATTAACCTGTTAACCCGGGAGTTCCCTTTTTAATTATGCAACGTACAACGGGCGCATACTCTTTCACCTGGCCGTGTCAGTACGTCACACCCAGTGGACGTAATTTTTTATTATTTTTTAAATTTATACTTAATTAAAATAAATGGAATATATATTTTTGTTTATTTATATATAAAGCAGAAAGGAAAAGACAAAATTACAAACAAATAGAAGAGAATACCAACAAAAAAATGGAAACATCGAATTAAAAAATTATAAATTTTATAAACAATTATAAAGATTACAAAAAATATATATTTCTTTTTTCTATACCCAATAAAAAATATAAAAACAAAAGCACACAAATAAAATAGAAATATTGAGTTTAAAAAATTGAAATATAGATGTAAAAATTCAAAATTCAACTTCCGTGTGATATATTTTAAAACAATTGTTGATACATAGTGCTACCTTACAATCCAGACACCAGTATGTAGATTCTTTCCTAACACCTTTTTTGTAGCAAACTCGGCATTTCCTGGATTTAGTTTTTCCTATATCGCTTTTATTTGTTCTGGAAAATGCCTTTCAACTAAGCGTGATGGTTTAGATGTAGAGCTGCTTGTTGATGTCTTTGGGTAGGTTTTCACTATGTTGTTATCTACCAATTTCTCTACACACTCTATCAAAAAGTGTAATCGATCCAAATGACCTTTATCTTTTTTGTATATAATATATGCATTGAAGCAGCACATATCAATTAATCGTAGAAAAAAAATTTTATAAAATTTTTTTACCCTATTACGGGCAGCCATGTGGGCCACCATAACCCATCTCCCAAATCTATGCCGCCCATATTCTTGTTATAATCCAGGACAACATTCGGTTTTTCTTGCCTTCTTCCTCTCTTTTCAATCATTGTCTTTTTGTCATTATGAATAGAACTGAGCATCAATACGTCTTTTTTATCCTTCCATTTTAAAACCATAAGTTTGCCTTTGATTCTTACTATATGTTCATTTTTCTGTAATTTTTTTATTTTACTGGGGATTCCGACTCTGTTTATCCTCATTGTTCCAACAATGTCTGTATTGTTTTGACACAAGAGTTCAGCCAAATGAATTGATGTATAGAAATTATCTAAATAAATCCTATATCCTTTATTCAGTAAGTCATGTGTTAACTCCAAAATAATTCTTGTTGATTGTTTTTCTTGGGGGTAGTTCAAACCATAATTTGTGTCCTTGCCTGTGTATAAAATTATATTTTGTACGTATCCAGATTGGCTTTCACTCAAAATAAACAACTTCATTCCAAATCTAGCTCTTTTTGTAGATATATATTGTTTCCAAGATAAATTCCCTTTCCATAATAAAAGAAATTCATCTACGCATATTTCTCGTTCACATACATAAAAACTTTTAAACTTTTCTGACAAATTATTGATGATTTGATCAATTTTATATGTTTTTCTATTATATAAAGGCTGGAGATATAAAAAAATGTAAGTAAATAATATATAATACGAAAATAGGTAGGTAAGTGTAAGTACGTACCCTTCACTGCTCACCCAGAACACGTCCACCACTCTCAATAGCGAAATTATACTGATTCCTTCCGTGTCTTAAATTCATGTTGAGACATGCATGGATGACTTCGTTGTTCGGAAATATACGTCCCGCCTGTTTCAGGGCACAACATGTATTTCAAGGATGTCCTACCCGAACCCGATATTGTTTACGTTTGACGTATTTATACGTCCCGCTTGGTTAACAGGTTAAAATATATGAAAAAATAAAATAAAATGTCTCCAAAGACCCACAACTCATTGGTGACTGTGGCTGAGCTTAGACCCTTCAATGACTTTGGCTAGCCTGACAGAAGAGATGAGCTGGAGGGCTCAGCTCCCTTGCTCAACTCCAGGATAATCCCAAGGTTTCTTTTTTTTTGCTTTGCTGCCCCTGCGGGGCAATCAGAAGTACTGCACCAACAGACAAGGTAAACCAGAAAAAGCTACAATAAACCTGACATTTTTAAAAGAATGATCATGGTAATCCCTCTACCTCTTGGTAGACAGCACAGTAATTCTGCAAGACATTTTGGCACATAAACAGACAATCTACCTTCATGAATTATAGACCAGACTCAAATGGTAACTTTAAAGCATGGAAATATTTGGGGTCATTTGGGAGTTAAGGTTTTCTCAATTACACAAAGCTTTCAGAACTAACAACACATAGGTTTAAGTCTTTCATATTTAGGATCCATACATCTTTGCCAACCATTTTCTTCAGTGATTGCTGCCTCTTCACAGAATTACATACAGATTCTATTCCAGTATTCCTGCCAATCCAACTCAGTCCCTCCTGCCTTTTGCATTTTGTCTTCTGTTTTTGTAATCCTCACCTGAAGATATTTTTCATTGATTTTTAGAGAAAGTGGAAGTGAGGAGAGACACACAGCGAGAAACATTGATGTGAGAGAGAAACATCAATTGGTTGCCTCCCGCATGCATCTCAACCAAGGCCAGGGATTGAACCTGCAACCAAGGCATGTACCATTGATGGAATCGACCCCGGGGCCTTCAGTCCACAGGCCAATGCTCTATCCACTGAGCCAAACCAGCCAGGGCCTCATTTTGTCTTTTTTGTACTTTACCAAGTATATGGAGTCCATTTTCCCTTTTAAGAGCAATCTTCACATTGCTCTTTACCTTTACCTCTTCTTTGCTCCTGACTCTGGAGAGATCAACTAAGTTCCAGGAGAGCAGGAACCAGGTCTGGTTTTGCTCAGCACCATATCGTGCCTGATACACAAGTAGTTGCCAAGAACATCAATTAAATGGATGAACGAATGAATACTTAGAAGGATACTGCTTATAGGTAGTAAACCCAAATGTTCTATCTTTTCTTCGATGATTCTCTAGGATTTATAAGAAGCACTATTGGGAAAGTAGTATTTAGCCAGGAACAGTGCTAAACATTTTGCCTATCTCTAGAGTCAATGATAATGGCTTTCTCAAATACCTTACATTATAACACCCGCAGCA